CTGCCTTTGCAGAACCGTCATTGCTTCAGTATTTAAACTTGAGCCACAAGGTGGCGCCAAACTATGGCTGGGACTAATTTGAATCTACCAGGAACCACTGAACTCACTCAGCCATTTTGTTTATCTTGCACTTTTATTTCCTTTCATTTAATGGTTCACTGGGCCCCACTGCCTGCATTAGGGAAGGGCATTTTATATTACTAAGTCCATCTGTTGGCCTCAGCTCCTCCACAGACTCTGAGTTCCCAGGAGTCCAGGCCACATGTTGCTCATCCTTGTTCTCTTGACAGGCTATAATATACATACTAGCAGGTGAAACAGCTGTTCACTGAATTTTTGAGTTGCACTCAGACATATCAAGAACTTACAGTGGAGGTAAAAATAGTATATACTGGCTAATCTAGGCCTGTTTTCTCCCTGCAAGTTCGGTTGTGACACAATTATGACAATGCCTGGGAGATTAGGCAAGTTTCTCAGCTCTTTTTGATAAATCTAGTTTTCGAAAAAATGCCAAAGGAGAATCCAAAAGTGAATCAAAGGGCACCACAGCTTGTGGCAGCTTGTAAATACTATTTATTTTATCTGCATGCCATCTGTTCTTTCATTGTTCACCAAAGTCCTATGTTCCTGGATTTCCTAGGTTAAAATAGTAGTTCAACCTAGGCTTTGGATAGGGACATGCTGCATTTTAAATATCAAGGCTGATCCGTTACCTTTCTTAGGTGCTCTGGAAATCATATATTGATTTTGAAATTGAGCAGGAAGAAACCGAAAGAACACGCAATCTTTATCGACGATTGCTTCAACGGACACAACATGTCAAGGTATTGTGTGCTTTAGAGATTATCTTTGATTTTGCTTGAGTCAGCATTTGTGAAGAAATATTGTAGTTCTATATTTTAAATGTTTTTTAAAAATATTTAGTGATTTCCCTGCTTTTAAAGAGAACCTTTTGTCTCAGAGGACTTTGGAATATTAAGCTTATACAAGGTCAGTATTTATACTGCATGTGAATAAACTGGGTACCATAGGATTGAATAAAAAGTTAAACTCTTATGATTTGAAGACTATTTCAGATACTTAATTGGATATAGAAGCAGATTGCTTCAATATTAATGTACTGAAGCATATAATAAATGGAATATAAGAAATTAGCACATTAATATATTCAGATGTTATTAACAAGAAGTTAATGTTATTACTATTACATTTTTGTATTCTGGGTGACTAGGCTAATTTGGTTCTATAATAATTTTTTTAAAGGTATGGATCAGTTTTGCTCAGTTTGAGTTGTCTTCAGGGAAAGAAGGAAGTTTGGCTAAATGCAGACAAATTTATGAAGAAGCTAACAAAACCATGCGTAACTGTGAAGAAAAAGAAGAGAGACTTATGCTGCTGGAATCTTGGCGAAGATTTGAAGATGAATTTGGAACTGCATCAGATAAGGAGAGAGTGGACAAACTCATGCCAGAGAGAGTCAAGAAGAGAAGAAAAGTCCAGGCTGATGATGGGGTAAGAACTGAGCCCCTGAAACTGGTCATCTCATGTCAAATGAGCAGAAATGCCATCTGACTTAGAATTTATACTATTAAATGGCATGTGTACAATCTGAGAATGGAAACAGATAGCCTGGGGTAGGAGACAGTTGCAGTCTGTGGAAACCAAGTGTGGAAACAGAGTGTATGGTCCACCCAGGGTAGAGATGGGGAAAGGGGTGGCAAAGGCTTCTTTATTGATTCTAGAAACTACTTGAAGTGTGGTATTTTGGGAGCATTACACAGGAAGTCGAGATGGAGGAAAATGAAAATCAGCTTTTAGTAGGTAGGACCTAATCCAGAGGTTTTGTAGGCTGTAAGAAAGCTCTTATGCACAAATTGACATAACCATCATTGGCATCTCCTGAAGGCAGACTCGGGGCTTGGATTGCCGGAGCACCAATTTGGGAGGCTGTTTAAGTAAAACATGTGATGGAAGCTGGTACTAGAGAACTTTTAGAATTGGTGACCCACTGGAGGTAGAGGTGGTAGGGTACAGATTCAGAATAATTAAATGCAGATATATAGTTTTCACTATTGGATAAATTTTAAGTAAATCTTTAAAATTTTTGAATCTTGGACTGCAAGATGTGCTTAGATTTTTAGAGTCTTTTTCCACCAGGATTTTCTCTCACTGAGCCACACTTGTAGCACCGCCAATCCAACAGCTATTTATGCACTTCCAGTCTTCAGGTCTCTTGCCCTTGTTGTTTCTGTAGTAGATTTTGATGCTGTTTTGTAAAATGAACATAAGTTGAATTTGAACTCTTGGTTTCCCAGGGAAAATCCTCAACTTTTAACTGAAATGTATTTCAGTGACATGTTTGCTTACCTTTTAATTGTTTTACTTTTCCATAGTCTGATGCAGGCTGGGAAGAATACTATGATTACATCTTTCCAGAAGATGCTGCCAACCAGCCGAACCTCAAACTCCTGGCCATGGCCAAACTTTGGAAGAAACAGCAACAGGAAAAGGAGGCTGCCGAGCAGGACCCAGATAAGGACATGGATGAGAGTGAATCTTGATCTTCTTGTTCATATTGATGGTTTTATTTTTATAAATTAACAGTTTGATAGTCTTGTGACTCCTGGAAGTTTTTTTTTTATATTTCACCAGTCATGAACTGATTGAAATCTTTGGCAGCTACTTTTTGAAATTATTCTTAAAATGCTCCTGGGCTAGTTAGGTTTGGGGGGGCGGGTGTTGAGTGAAAGAATTTTTTTAACTGCTTGATTTTTTTTGACAGAATCCAAACATTTTTTGTCTACATGGTACATTAGGAAATCTAAGTAAGGTAATGTTTAGCATCTACTTTAGATGGAAATACAGGCTTTTGAGTTTTTTCTAGAAGTTTTCAAGTTACATTCTACAGGAACTTTTAAGGTGTAGTTTTCTCATGACTATCTTTTTCATAAAGATTTTATGCATTCATCTGAAACCTTTTTCTTTCATGTCTTTAGTCACATTAACTTGAGTTCCAATCCCAGCTCCACTTAGTAATAAATAATTCAACCTTTATTTTCAGTTTCTTCACTCATAAAATGAGCTAATACTCTGCCAACTCATTTTGCAGATTACATTAGATGACAACTAGACCTAATGCATTAGTTAAGTGCTCAATAAAATGTCCATTCCTGTCTATGGTCATACCATCCTGAACACACCTGATCTCATCTAAAATGTTCCTTCCTTATAGAATTGAATGTGCTTGGATTAATTTAACTTCTAAAGTTCCTACTTTTGTGACCGTTTATATTAACTGCTTTTCAAAACATTAGTTCAAAACTAATTTACAGTGACTACGTATTTCTGAACAAGGCTTTTTTTACTGAGAACATATCAGTTAAATTTCAGTTATGCCCTAGTTTCCCAGACTGGTTGAGCTCTGTAGTGGTTTGTTTAAAAAATAGTAATGTCTGCCATAAAAATGATGTTCCATATTCAAGTTTGTGAAACCCTAAATTAAGGGTTAATTAAGCCTTATTAGTGAAATCCCTTATTGCCTTCTCAGAGTCTTTGATGTGCTGCTGTATATATCAATTCCAATAACAATGCTGGCATATTCCCCAAACTTACTGGGCAAGGGAGTCATTTCTACCTAGTGTACCAATAAATATCTCCTAGCATCCTATAGTAGAAAATGTCTGCCCATAACACCTGATACATTAAACTTACCCCTGCTTTAGCACATGTGAAAAACACCCAAGGTAACTAAACTATTTGCTAAATATAACTTAAATAGCACAAGGATAGTGTATTTGATGATACATTACATTCTAAAGCAAAAAATATTTGCCTTAATTAAAATATTTACTTCAATCTGGCCTATATTTCTCAAGCCTATCTTTTCTCCTTCTGTTCACTGCCCAAGCTACTGGACTAGAACTGTGTATCTTCAAGACTGTTTTTTTACCTATAAGGACAATTAGCATACTTATTATCTGTAAATTTAATTGGGAAAATTTACTAAATTTGCAAATATATTACTCATCCACAGGAATAAGTTAGTCAATATGTTACTAAGTTTTATCTTGAAAATAAGGTAGTTTTTGAGGGCAGAACAAAAGAGTACTGTTAGGATAAAAGGGAAACCTGTCTTCAGCCTCACTGATTTAGTCATTGGATCAGTATCAGCAGTTGTGGTATCAGGTTCTGACTGCTGAGGAGTAAGGTCTGCCAGATCAGTGAAGAGGAACATTTGTGATTTTAACATCCTTTGGCAAAGTGCAGAGTCAAGGGTGAGATGAAAACAAGTCAAAATGCTACAAGAGTGACTACTCATAGAGTCTAGCTAAAATTCTGTTTGTTGCTTGTATGTGTAAGAAAAGAAAATTAGTGATCATGTTTTCAATGCAAACTCTTTTAACACTTTCTGGGTAGTGCCATTAAGGAGATGCATAAAGGAAAAAGTTTTTCTTTCATGGTAGATTACATAAAGAATTCATTTCTTGATCATCTTTAACTCTACCAAAATAAGTTCTTTCAAAAGTAAAAGCTCTTGAATAATCATTTCTGTGGGTTTTTCTTTAGCTACTTTTTTTACTCAATATTTTCCGATTATTACAGGTGATTAAAATTACACATGAGAATATGTGATTGGCCTATGATCTAGTTACATGGCCTTCAGGAATTAGGTTCTTTTTCCCCTTTAAATAAATTTCAGCATCTTCTTATTATTTTTAAAGGCAGGATTTAAGGAAAGTATTTATGGGACAAAACAAAGAAAGAATCCAGGACTAAGAGTATGAAAACAAGTAACTGGGAAGAATTTATTCTGCATTAAGAAGGAAGCTTCAGTATGCCAGGCAGGGAGTGTCTTAAGTATGCATGTTAAAAATGGAAACAACTGTACTTTGAACATTAAAAAAATTTATATATATAAACCAAAAACTTAATGGAGGAACAATATATCCTAAATGATACTTTCTCAATCCTAATTTAGCTTTACAAACTTCCAGGAAACATTTACAGCATCAATAGTGCATTTTATTATACATCTTAAATTTAGCATTTCATATATGCTTTTTAAAGCTTCACTCAACAAGTCAGTACAAAATAAAATTATATATATATGCGCGCAGCAGTGATTCTCAGGCACAGAATTTAGGAGACTGGAGGAAGTTTTTTTTTCCCTAGCGTCTTATGAACCATGATAGTAGACTGTTTCCTTCTGACTTAGCTGCCTTTCTGACTGAATTTTATCACAGTGGACAGCTTTAGTAGGTATGATATTGCTAACTGAAAACAATGAGATTTAGAATATTTTCTTCAAATCGTTAAGACCTAAGTGAATATTTTTCTCTAACAGAGCTCTAAGATTATCCAGTGGGAATAATATTGTCCGTAAAATATCTGGAATATCAGCCTAAGAACCACTGCCCAGGGTTATTCAATGTCTTCTGGCCTCACAGGATGAGGTAGTGGTATGATGGATTTCTTCTCAGTGTCCCTGGAAAGTGCTTTCCTCATATCTGTTAGGAAGCAAAGTTTAATGTAAGTACTATAATTTCAAACTATTTTATATCAAATTTAAAGTATACAGGCAAGTTTCCCATAAGAGGTTTTGTCCCCTACCCCAACTTTCACTAGATTCTAAGAGAAATAAATGTCTTTATATAATCACAAGTAACCAGATACTAACCAAACCCTAACTGGGATTCAGCTTTTAATACAAATGTTCTCTTGACAGAATCTTAGTAAAAGAACATGCCTGTAATGTAGTAAGACAATAATTGATAGTAATTAGTTATGGGTTAGCTAATATAAATTAACTAGTAATAGATCTGTTAAGGCAAAATATAGGAAATTTAAATATTATGTATCAAATTTAAAATACTATATTCCAACAAATATAATTATTTTATTATAATAATTGAATATATCAGTCTGTAGAATGAATGTAAATGTTTGGCTTCCTATTTGGGTTTCTGCCAGAGAAGGGAGCTTACCATAAGCGTCCTCGTCCGGCTCCCCGTTGCTGGCTGAGTAGTACTCTATGACCGTCCTGTATACACTGTAGCCCAACTGCTTGTACATGTTGACTGCAACTTGGTTAGATACTCTTACAAAGAGGTCAACAAAAAATCCACCTTTTCTTTAAATTTTGTTTTAAAAAAGAAAATGTTAGAGTGTGAGGAACTACAGAAAATAACAGGTACATATATTTTTTCAAACCATAGCTAATTTTACTTTGTTTACTCCTCATAAAATGGTAGTAATAGGATCCTGCAGCTGATTACAAAGTAAATCAATCTTTTTAATATTGCTGAGATCTTACAACAATTATTTCACTGTATAAAAAGACGACTTTGTTTGCATGCTAATATTCAAAACCTACAATACATATTTTCTTAAACTATAAACTTTTCAAAAAGGGTTTTTTTACCACAACTCTGCTAACTGGCTTAAAAAATTGCTGTGTATTTTGTCATAGTAATTGATATGCTCATTTTACCAAATGAGTCATAGAATACTTCTACTCATGTGCACATCTTTAAAATTTTGAGGCAAGCGCCAGGGTGGCCATGCCATGGCCAAAGTGTAGCTGTAGGAAATTGGTCATAGCTCTGAAATCCTCTGGTCTCTTTGGTCAGTGACAGCCTCTCCTGTACCCAGAGGTCTCCATGTCCTGACTCTTGTAATCATTAGCTATTTACTTTTTGCTATAGACTTGCTACCTATTATAGTTCAGTTTCTCCTGTTTATGAACTTTATATAAAGGGAAACATACTTTATTCTTTAGTGATAGACCCCTCAGTCAGTGTTATTCAAGTCAGCCTAGGTGTAGCTAGAGCTTGTTCATCTGCATTTTATTTAGGCATTTCATTATATGGATATATACTACAAATTTTCTCTGGTTCTACAGAGAAACATTTCCAGTTTTTACTCTTCCAAACTGTGCTACAATATTTTCGTTGTATCTCATAGTACAATATCTAAAGTCCATAGGAATGTTATCACTGGCTCACCGGGGTATGCACATCTTCAACTTTGTTAGATATTGTCTGTTTCTCAATCTACTTGAACCACTTTACACTCCCACAGAAGTGGTATAAGACTCCATTACCATAGTACCAACGCTTGTTGCATCAGATTTCATTTTTGAAAATCTTATGGAACAGTGCTATCTCTGGGTATTAGCATTTTGGATTACTAACAAGGCTGAATATATTTTTGCTGGACATTTAGATTTCTCGTTCTGGAGTCCTTATTGATCTCTCATATTTTTCTTTTTCTCCTTTACACTATAGTTCTATATATTCTGGATATTCAACATTGTGTAAAGGTTGTCACAAATCTTTTTTTTCCAGTTTGCATATCTTTTTCCAGTTTGTGGTTTGTCTTGTCATTATCTGTATGCATCTTTTTTTTTAATCCTCACTGAAGGACATGCTCATTGATTTTTAAAGAGAAGGGAAGGGGAAAGGAGAGAAAAACAATGATGTGAGGAACACTTGTCAGTTGCCTCTCACACGTGCCCTGACAAGGGATCAAGTCTGCAACCTAGGTATGTGCCCTGACCAGAAATTGAACCCAACCCATGACTTTTCTGTGTATGGGACGATGCTCCAACGAAGCCACACTAGCCAGGGCATCATTATCCTTATGTATTTTCTGGTGAACAAAGTCACTTCACTCCAATGAACTTAAATATATGCAACTAACTTTTACAGTTAACATTTTTTATGACTTATTTCAAAAGTTCTTTTCTATCTTGAGGTCTGTAGATACTCTCCCATATTAACTTCAAAGGGCTTTTTAATTTTGCTTTTCACATCTAGGTTTTTAACAAATCTGGGATTTGTGTATAGTAAGATAGTAATCTGGGGAAAAAATTCTCCTATATGGATATCCAACTGTGCTACCACCTTTACTGAAAAGTATATCCTTTTATCACTAATCAATAATTGCTTCCTCTGAGGTTTGTAAAAATTGTATTCCTGGATCTGTTTTTCAAATTCTGTTCCACTGCTCTAGACAACTATTCCAGACTAGACAACTAGTCTGGAATAGACAACTACTCCAGCCCTAACACACAGTCTTACTCATACAGCTAAATATCTGAAGGGACAAATCTGCCCATTTTGTTTTTCAGGAATATATTGTTTCTTCTCAGCTCTTAACCATTCCCCTGTAAGTTTCAGAAGTAACTTAGGTCCCACAAAAAAAAATACTTGGGACTTTGATTGCAATTACCTTGGCTCTGTGAACCAATTATTAGTTTACTGTATCAAGTCCTCTGTGCCAGAGCAGTAGTTCACCTCTCCATTTAGGTCATCTTCAGAGCATTTACATGTCTCTCAATTCTGTTTTATGAATTTCAGAGGTCTTGCAGCTTTTGTCAGACTTTTCCAACAACTTTGTTTAATTTTCAGTCTAAACCAGCAATTTTCAACTGGCATACCACAAGATTTTTTGAAACATGCAATACCACCTAACTATTTAATCAGGGGTACTGACCTCTCTTCTCTTAGACCGTGAAGTTAAAAAAAAAACTGACAACAGCCAACACAATAGCCACCTATTATTTTGGTCAGATCACAGAAAAATGTACTTTTTGGTTGGCCAGAAAATTTTAGTAATTAGTTTATCCATGTCATGAGATGATAAAGGTTAAAAATCGCTGGTCTAAACGTTTACTTATAGATTCTGGTGGGTTTTCTATTTGCACAATCTTATCAGTGCAAAGTAAATGTTTTTTCTCAATCCTCGTATCTTTTCCTTGGTTTACTAGTGATGTCTAGTATGTCCAGTATATTACTGAAGAGAGGCAGACTATAGATGTCATCATCTTGTCCCAGATTTTAAAAGGAAAACATTTAATGCACTCCCATCAATATTTACTACACGTTTTTTATAGATATTCTTTTTTCAGTTTAAGGAAGTTTTCACCTTCTATTTCCTGGTTTGTTAACAATTTTTAATCAAGAATAAATAATGAATTTTATCAAAGCACTTATGCATTTAATGAGATGCAGATGTAATTTCCTCCTTTAATCTGTTACACTGGTGGAATATATTTACAGATTTTATTTTTTATGTACTTACATTTTAGAGAGAGGGGAAGGGAAGAAGAAAGAAAGCAAGAAAAACATCTATGTATTAGAAACATTGATAAGTTACTTCTCCCACGCCCCACACTGGGGACCTGGCTCGAAACCCAGGCATGTGCCCTGACTGGGAATCAAACCAGCAACCTGACTTTAGGTTTGCAGGCTGGCGCTCAATCCACTGAGCCACACCAGCCAGGGCTATAGATTTTCTAACATTAAAACAACCTCCCCTTGATATATCATCCTTTTTACAAATTGCTGTATCTATTTTGCTAAGCTTTTCCTGGGATTTTTGCATCTATAATGAGATTTTCCTCAAATTTTCCTAATATTTCTTGTCATATTTTATTATCACAGTTATCCCAGCCTTAAAAAAATAAGTTGAAGAACGTTCCCTCTTTTTGTTTGTCTAAAACTGAACTTATAGTCATTATTTCTTAAACAGAATAAAGTTTTTCCAGAAAAGCCATACTTTGTGGGAAGATTTTTGGCTACTGATTGAAATTTTTTAAGTCAGGGGTCAGGTCATTATTTTTGTACTGCTCTCAAGCTAAGAACACTTTTTACAATTTTGAAGGGTTTAAAAAATATATATGTAATAGAGACCTCCGATGGCCTGCAAAGCCTAAACATTTACTATCTGGCCCAAAAAAAGTTTGTTGACCCCTGTTCTATACCCTTAAATCAATTTCTGTCTGACTGTCCATTAGTAGGACGCATGTTCAAAACTCCCATTATGATTATGATTGTCTATTTCTCCACATAGTTTTGCAAAGTGTTGCATTTCTACTTTGAATCCTTGTCACTTGTTACATAAAATTTGTTACATCTTCCTGATGGATTAAATCTTTTATCAATATGCAGTGACTCTCTTTATGCCAGTAATTACTGAACTATACTGTTACTATTGTTCATTTAAGTATACCAACTGTCTTTTGATCAGAATTTGCATAATTTAAAAAATTTCTCTTACTTTTGATCTTTCTATATCTTTAATATTTACGTGTTTCCTGTAGAGTTCTGATGGTATCTTTTTTTTTGTTTTACTTCCTTTTTAATTCAATTTTATTTCATAACACCACGAGATCTTAATAAACTGTGAATGAACAATACGTTATTGCTGACTACAGGTATAATGTGTACAGCTGACTCTAGAGCTTATTCATCTTACTTAACTGAAACTATGCTGATTAGTAACTCCCCACTTACCCCAACCCCAGCCCTTGGCCACCACCATTCCATTCTTTGATTTTATGAATTTAATTATTTTATATATCTCATATAAATGGAATCATGCAGTATTGGTCTTGCTGTGAGTGGCTTATTTCATTTAGCATAATGTCCTCAAGTCTTTGACTTTTAATTGGAGTCATTAGTCTATTAACATTTACTGTTATTTCAAAAAATATTTGGATTCACAACTACCATCTTATTTCATGCTTTTTATTTGTTTTGTCAATTTAATTTCCTTTTTGTCTCCTCTTCTGATTTCTGTCATGCTAGTTTTCTCTCTACTTCATTTAGAAGTTATATACTGTTTCTATTTTAATGTATACATTTAAAAATACCTGTATATGTGCATGTATATATGGATGGATGGATATAGGTATACATACATACCCATACAAATAAAGATCACTTAAATCTCAGGTATTCTTAAGAACTAGAGTCAATTTCTTTCTCAGCTAACACTATTTCCTCTTTTCTCTAAATGAGTTCAAGTTTCTCTTGCCACCAACTTGGCTGAGAGAATTTTCAAGCCATTGTTACGTCTTTAAAACTCATCTTCCTTAAGTCTTAAGTATAAAACCTCACAAGTGCTTCTCAGCAGCTATGCCCTTTCCTACATACTTCTAGGCATTTACAGTGCAGGAAAAAATGGCAGCTTGATAACTGGTTAAACTTATACACAAATCTCTTATCTCTTCTAGAATAGGCTGGCAGGGGAATCCTCTTTTCATTTTACTGTATTACTTTTACCTGGCATAATGAGGATGTTTAATATATACAAGAGGTCTTTTTTAAAAAGCCTTAATGTTGGCAGTTTCCAAAACTGCTCCAAGGTGCCCAAAATTCAGAGGTGCTGTAGGATATTTCAATTGTTCAAGGAAAACACAAACCTTACATATCAGACACTAGCAAGCTACTAGTTTTTGATGTAGTTCAAAAATGTGGCAATACATGTTACATTCCCTTTGAAGACAGTATCTTTATAAAGCCAGGTTTGGGGCAGTTCCTACATAAAAATCAAGGTGAAACAGGAATGTAGGTGATCGTGTCCATCTGTTTCCAAGGTTTGAGACGTCATACAATACCTAACATGTGCATCAATCGATAACCACAATTATTTAACAATGAAATAAAAAAAATTTTCAGTCTGTTTTTATTTGTCTAAATAGCTATTTGGTTGTTAGGCTATAAATACTAAGTTGTTAGGACATTATTGCTTAAGACTAAACTGTTAACTTTTGGCCAAGAGGCACTGTGAAAAAATTAAGATGCCAAGGACAATGTTAACAGAGAATTTGGGAATATCGACCATAGTGTCAAGAACACTAAAAGAAACCCTAAGGGCTAGTCTTTCATTCCACCAATTACCCAGCTTATAGGTCACTTATTTTGCCTTAATTTTCCTCAACGGCAAAATAGAGACAATGAGACCATTCTGAATATGTGACAGAATTATTGTAAGGACTACTGGAGGCTAAAAATGAAATTCCTGTGAACTGTAGTACATAGTATTTATTCAGCCTGAAGGGAAAAAAAGTCTTATAAATATTCACAAAAAGAAAAAGCAAGTGGTCAGAGTCCATATATTATTAGAAAAGCGGGGTCTCACCTTTCTGAAATCTCTTCTAGTAACTCCATAAGTTTAGCAGCCAAACCAAGGCGTCGAAATTCTGGAGCAACAGACAGAGCTGTGACATGTCCATGCCATTCTTCCCTAGCAACTGAGCCTTCTGCTTTACCCATAACTGTCAACAAAGATTGCATTCATTAATAAACACATGGGTTTACACATTAATATAGAATTACTGTTTGGTAGGTACACTTTAATTTATAGAAGGAATCAGTGAGTTGTCTAATGGTTGAAAAGGAAATAAAATTACAGACATCATGATCATACTTTCAATTCTTTATCAGTTTAAATAAATTAGCTGAAAACTATATTAAAATCTTAACTACCTATCCAAAAAAAGTACTAGTGGTATTATACTCACTATAACCCATTAACTCTCCACCAGGTGCCTCTGCAACGATGAAATACTCTGGCCAATGGGCAAGGTACTGTAAGTAAAATGGAATCCCATACTAGAGTCTTGTTAAGGAGTGTGCAAAGCAATGGACAGTAACAATTTCATCCCTTCATAAAAGGGATATTTTAAATAAAGTTCCCTTTAAAAAGTATACTGTTACTTTATCCCTAGCCCTATATATATGATTTCTGTAGTCATATCATTATGTGAAATACTTAGGTTAGCGCTAATTTTTAACAGTGACCTGAACATAAAATGTCAAATGTGAATGGAGACCACAGTATCTAACAGAAAGCAGAGAACCAGGACTCCAAAGTTCTGTAATCAGTCTCCCTACTGATCAGTCTCCACACTGTAGACTAAAAGTCAGCATAGCACTTATCCTCGCCTGATACTCATTTGTTTACCAGCCGTCTCCCCTTAGAATATGAGTAATGTTCTCTGTATCCCTGGAACTTGCCACATAGATGCTCAATGTTTATTTTTCCATATTTGTAGGAAAATTAGACTGGTTTAACTTCTACTTTAACTTCAGCTATGAGACTGTGAAAGTAACTTTAAAACTAAGTACTTCCTAGTCATCTTTTATTTGGTAAATTATGAACTGGTATAATTTATACAATTCATGTATACTGACTATGGCAAAGTTGTACATATTTCTCTATTTTGGATGAGAAATTTTTCTTCTATGATGAATTACTTATCTTGGAAACAAAAATACTTCTAAGTACACTAAGTACTTCCAGAGGCAACTTAACAATTACCCAGTTTTCCCTTCCACTGATTCAGATTTTCCACTTCTAATATTGCAAAGAAAAGCTCACTTAAGAGTGAATGCCTGAATAATTTGTTCATTACTTAACTCTTCAACCCTGTTGTCCTTACTGATATGTACTCATTCCTGTTTCTTCTTAGTGTAAGTTTGCTGATCCAGTTCTATGAAGGGAACATCATCAATTGTACATTTTTATTTAAAAGTTCCTGGAAGGCCTGTTCAGTAAATTCTTCCAACACTCCTCTGAAGGACAACTTTTATTTTCAGTACTCTTCAAACATAACTCCTAAAATAACAGGCCACCATCTTCCTGCCTGCAGCCTGAAAACACACCTTAACTGTCTCTCCTCCAGCTAATGGAGGAGACCCAGAAGCTCATTCATCAACCACCAAGATCTGGTAGGTTACTTTCAAATATGGCTTTACCTAGATTATGAGACTTTTACTCTAAGTTTTACAGGTAACTGGATATACACCATATAAATTGATTTGCATCCTAATATTTTCCCTTATTATGCAGTGAAAATTGAATCTTTCGGAATTCTTTTCCTTTTTTTGAAATGTGGATAGGTCTTTAATAGGCCATAGTTTTAAAAACACAAATGAAAACTTGGGAGATTTTTTTCCTTTTCCCACTCAACTGTATTTATATGTAGCCCTGTAGTCTCTATCTACAGTTAATTTTTACTACTGTATAGTATTCCATTATGTGAAAAGACTATTTAAATATACTATCCCTTGACAGTGGACATCTGGGTTGTTTCTACTTTCTCAAAAACTTTTAAAAATCATTTATGAATACAAAATAGTTTATTTAGTCATTTCCTTATTGTTGTGTATGTTACTCCAAATTTTTAATATCATAATTCTGCAATAAATATTGTGCAGAATAACTGCAAAAACAATTAATCCATAACTAAGGGGTTAAAAAACATTTTCTGTAAAGGGCCAAACAGTAAATATTCTAGGCTGTGTGGTCCATATCTGTCGTCTCTGTTGCAACTACTCAACCTGGAAAAGGCATGGACAAAAGCCACAGATAATAGTAAGTTATTCAGTATAGCTGTGTCCCAATAAAACTTTATTAACAAAACAGTGGGCCAACTTGATTCACGCACCTTAGTTTGTCAAGCCCTGACATAACTGCCTCTGTGGCTTATTATTTTCCACTTCTAGGAAATGGAATTACTAAGAACTGCATTGCCAAAGTGCCTTCCAGAAAACCATTGCAGTTTCTATCTTTACTCGCAATTTGTGAGAATATTCCTGTAACCTCACCCTCATCAGCATTGAGTTTTATCATTTTTTTTTTAATTCTTGATAATTTGACTGGTAAAACATCACATCTCATTTAGCTTTCAATTTGCATGTCTTTTGACTGGTGAAACTAAACTCCTAGTATGTTCACTAGTCTCTTATATCCCTCTTTTATTAAATTACCCGTTAATATCACCGCCCTATCCTACAATGGATATGGATAATCCAGAAATCCAACTCTGTATTTTAAGCCACTGGGGGGGGGGTTGCCTATTAGCATAACATAACCCAAAGTACTCTAACTTCACACCTTTGCCCATTTTTCTATTGGGGAATATGATACATACTGCTAATTGTTACCCCAAATCCTCTCTTTACTATGGTAACAAGCCCCAACTTAAAGCTAGGCACATTCTGGGGCTTTTAAGTAAGTGTAGCATGATGTAGGCACTGGTCAATGAGATACAGAAGGGTTGCGCAGTACTTCCCAAACATACCACTAAAAGGAAAGGACACTCTCCACTTCTTGTCTGTTGATTCTCGTGACAGAAACATGGATGTGATACCATTTGTTCTGGCAGCCATGGGATAAGAAGGCCAAAGTCACCCTGGGAATAGCAGAGTGTTTCAAGTGCAGGACCAGATCACTGGTGACTACATGGAACCACAGCCTGCCCTGCATTGCTCATCATTTCCAGACTTCTCTCACAACAGAAAGAAATAACCCATCTTGCTGAACTCACTACTTTCTGTTGTGTACAGCCATACTTATTACAGAGAGGGAAGCTGGGCAGGGAAGCTAGCAGTTTTGTTATAGACTTATGAGATCATTTTATTAGCAGCTTGTCAGGCAGGTTTAAGACAACTCTTGTTCCCAGTTGTTGTAAATTGCTTTTAATGTTGCTTATGATGCTTACTTACCTACAAGTTTTAAAGTTTTTCAGTACTTGTCTATTTTTCCCCTTTGTTTCTCTATTTTCCTCACTGTCAGTAAGCCTTCACTTAACATTTTAAAAAAAGGATACAGTTTCTGTAAGTGGATCCAGGTTACTGAAAGAAATGAGAATTATCAGTGGTAAGCAGTATTTATAAAACTAGTTTAATAGTTTAAGCCCATTAAAAATAAAAAAAATAATATGCACAAGGAAATTAACACAAACTAAAACCATTTTAAAACCAACTTTAAGGCTAAGAAAGATGGTTTAAATTACCTAATTGCAAAATGATAGTTGCAAAATTTTTTTACTGTGGAGAGAACTTTCAAGATCTACTCTCTTGGCAACTTTCAAATATGCAATACTATTATTAATTATACTCACCGTACTACCCACTACATGCCTGTGACTTACTTATTTTATAGCTGAAAGTTTCATACCTTTTAATCCCCTTCACTCATTTTGCATGAATAACTTTTTAAAAAATTTGTATGCAACCATAAAAGACCCCAAAGAGCCAAAGTAATCCTGAGAAAAATTAACAAAACTGGAGGTATCATACTCCCTGCAAACTACACTACAAAACTACAGTAATCAAAATAGTATGTATGATATTGGCAGAAAAACAAGACACACAGACCAGAACTGAGAGCCCAGAAATAAACACACGCATATACAGGCAACTAATTTTTGATAAAAGAGCCAAGAATATACAATGGAAAAAGGTAATGGTACTGGGAAAACTAAAGAGCCATATGCATAAGGATGAATTACACCGTACACAAAATTAACTCAAAATGGACTAAAGATTTGAATATGAGACCTAAATAAAATACACTGACAAAAACATAGACAGTACATTTATAGACAATGGTCACAGAAGTGTTTTTTGTGAATTTGATCTCAAATGCAAGTAAAACAAAGGAAAAATAAATTAATGGGACTACATCAAACTAAAAACTCCCACAAAGCAAAAGAAACCATCAACAAAACAAAAAAGTAACCAAGCAAATGGGGACAGATATAAAGAACTAATAAAACTCCACAAAAAAAATTCAATTAAAAATGGGCAGAGGACCTGAATAGACACTTTTCCAAAGACGACATGATAGTCAACAGACATATAACATCACTAGTTATTAGGGAAATGCAAAATAAAAGCACAATGAAAAGAATGGCTATTATCAAAAAGAGAAGAAATTCGTGTTGGAGAGGACATGAAGAAACCTTCGTACACTGTAGATGCAAATGTAAATTAAATTAGTACAGCTACTATAGAAAACAAAAAAAATCGTCAAAAAAATTAAGAATAGAACTACCATGCCCTGGTTGGCGTAGCTCAGTGGATTGAGCTCGGGCTGGGAACCAAAGTGTCCCAGGTTCAATTCCCAGCTAGGGTACATTCCTGGGTTGCAGGCCATAACCCCCAGCAACCACACATTGATGTTTCTCTCCCTCTCTCTTCCTCTCTCCCTCCCTCCCTCCCTCTCTCTCTCTCTCTCTCTCTCCCCCCTCCCTCCTCTCCCTCCCTCTCTCTCTCTCTCTCTCCCCTCCCTTCCCTCCCTAAAAATAAATAAATAAAATCTTTAAAAAAAAAAAGAATAGAACTACCATATGATCCAGCAATCCTCTTCTGTGTACTTACCCAAAAATGCTTATATGTAAAGATGTATGTGCCCCTATTTTCACTGCATTACTTATAATAACTAAGATATGGAAACAACCCAAGTGTCCACTGATAGATGATTGGACAAAGATAATGTAGTATGTATATAAAATGCAATACTCCTCAGCTTTAAGAAATGAAATATGGCCTTTGTGACAACACAGATGAATCTTGAGAGTATTATCCTAAGTGAAATGAGTCAGATGGTGAGTGGGGTGGCAGAAGGGCAAAGTGGGTAAAGGGAGTCAAATATATACAAAAAGGAATCTAGATGTCAGGTGGGGAGCATGTAATAGAATACACAGATGTCTAATGCTGTACACCTATATATATATATATATATATATTTATTTATTTATTTATTTATTTATTTACTGTTATTAACCAGTGTTACCCCAAATAATTTATTTTTTTAAAATAAAATCAAGTTAAAATGATCAAGGCTACTGTTAGGTAGAAAAGAGGTCTTTCAGGTTGTAGAGACAGGCATGACCAGTCCTTCTTCTGGTAGGAGGGTGAATAAAAACAGTGCCCACTTTGATTTTGCTGCTGTGTAAAAAGACCCTTGTTATAAATATGAATATTGCTTAAGGGAAAGGAAGATCAACACTAAGTCCCTGTGATTGGCTAACACTGTGCTCAGCACTTTCTCTGAAAGATTAACAATTAACTTTTTAATTAAAAATAAGCAATTAAGGGACTTCCAGCAATGATAGAGGTGAAGGTGATACACTTTGCCTCCAAGCACAACCAAAAGAAGGAAGACAACAAACTTAAAAACAAAAAACAACCAGATCTGACAGAAAATCGAACTGTATGGAAGTCTGACAACTAAAGAGTTAAGGAGGAAACATTCATTCAGACAGGTAGGAGGGGCTGAGACAGGTAGCCAGGAGGGAAAGGACATGCAGCATGTGGCAGCTGTAGGACTAGGGCAGGCAAGGTGGACCAGGAAGTCCTACATTTGCATGAGAATAAACTAGGAGGAACACCTGGGGAGCAAGACAGACCACCCAACCCAGGGCTCCAGGTGGGGAAATAAAGCCTCAAAATCTCTGGCTGTAAAAACCTATGAGGGCTGCAGTGAAGGGAAAAACTCCCAGCCTCACAGGAGAGTTCACTGGAGAGATCCACAGGGTCCTACAAAATACACAAACCCACCCACCCAGGAATCAGCACCAGAAGGGCCCAATTTGCTTCTGGGTAGCAGGGGAAAGCCAGCCTAGAGCTGAACAAGTGGCATTGTTCCCTCTCTGACACCTCCCCAACCTACAGCACCACAACACAGCAATGTGGGTTGCCCTGCCCTGGTGAAAATCTAAGGCCCCACACTCTACAATGTAACAGGTACACTGAGACAAAGAAATATGGCCCAAATGAAAGAACAGATCAAAGCTCTAAAAAGAGAACTAAGCAATGAAGAGATAGCCAACCTATCAGATGAACAGGTCAAAACACTGGTCATCAGATGCTCACAGAAATGGTTGAGTATGGTCACAAAATAGAGGAAGAAGTAAAGACTGTGAAAAATGAAGTAAAGGAAAATATACAAGGAACCAACAGTGATGGGAAGGAAACCAGGACTGAAATCAATCATTTGGACCAGAAGGAAAAAATAACATTCAACCAGAACAGAATGAAGAAACAAGAATTCAAAAAAAGGAGAGAGTTAGGAAACTCCAGGACAACTTTAAAAGTTTCAACATTCTAATCATAGGGGTGCCAGGAGGAGAAAAGGAAGAGCAAGAAACTGAAAACTTATTTGAAATAATAATGAAGGAGAACTTCCCCAATCTGGCAAAGGAAATAGACTTCCTGGAAGTCCAGGAAGCTCAGAGAGTCCCAAAGAGGTTGGACCCAAGGAAGCACACACCAAGGCACATCATAATTACATTACTCAAAATTAAAGATAGAGAATCTGAAAAGCAGCAAGAGAAAAGGAGACAGTTACCAAGATTACTCTATCCAGCAAAGCTATCATTTAGAATGGAAGGGCAGATAAAGTACTTCCCAGGTAAGGTCAAGTTCAAGGAGTTCATCATCACCAAGCCCTTATTATATGAAATGTTAAAGGGACTTATCTAAAAAAAAGAAGATGATCAAAAGCATGAACAGTAAAATGACAACAAACTCACAACTATCAACAACTGAACCTAGAAAGAAAAAAAAGTACAGAAAACAAACAAACTAAGCCAACAACTAAAACAGGAACAGAATCACAGAAATGGAGATTGTGTGGAGGGTTATCAGTGGGGAGGGGTGAGAATGGGGGAAAGGTACAAGGAATAAGAAGAATAAATAGTATTAGGTAAAAAATAGACAGGGGGATATTAAGAATAGTATAGGAAATGGAGAAGTCTAAGAACTTATATGTATGATCCAGGGACATGAACTAAGGGTGGAGGGTGGCGTGGAGAATGCTGGTAGGAGGGGACTGCAGTGTAGAGGGGAATAAAAATGGGGAGAAAAAAATTGATAATTATAATAGCATAATCAATAAAATACACTTTAAAAAAATAAGCAATCAGAAGACAGGCATTTATTATCAATGCTTACCCAATAGAATTAGTGATCAAAGTACTAGAGCAACAATTTAAATTTTTTCTAAAAATTTTATTTATTTGTATTTTTAGAGAAGGGGAGGGAGGAAGAAAAAGGGAGAGAAACATCAATTTGTGGTCACCTCTCATATACCCCCTACTGGGTACCCGGCCTGCAACCCAGGCATGTGCCCTAGAATGAAAATCAAACCGGTGACCCTTTGCTTTACAGTCCAATGCTCAATCCACTGAGCCACACCAGCCAAGGCTAGAGTATTACTTGTTTTTAAAGCCTTATTTTAATTTTTCTCTACAAAACTGCCAATATTATTAACAAAGAACTGTAAAGTAGAAGTGATGTTCAGCTGTGGTGTGTTACCTAAATGAACAATGTGAAGGTAAGTACAATCACCAAACTTTAGGGATTAGGATGGTGTTGCTCTGGCGGCATCCATACTTATAATCTTCATATATAATTATATTGCCAAAGACAAATTATCTCACCACATATTATAAACACCACATATCATAAAGTTGCATGATGTATTTTTTTAAGAAAACACTTTATTTTAAAAAATTTAGTGACATGAGTGGCACTGTGTTAACAATTTTACAGATCTTTTTAATGTCTGGCTTAGTAGAAGACAGCTGGATTCTCAGGTCTGTCTATTATACTTGCTGCTGCAAGATTACACATCTGGAAAACTCCACTATGTGAGAGAATGAGAGTGGAAAAGGCAAAAAATCACCTTAGCATTATCATGAAAATAGCTCTGACATCACGTCGCAGAGCCCCAAAACGATCATGAGGGGTCCCAGTGCACACCTGGAGAATCACTTACTCTAACATGTTCTCTCTTGTTGCCTCAACTGTCCAACAGGCCACCCCCCTTCTTGACTTCTATTTTCTTCTTGACAGCTGTTTTCTATTTCACAAAGAAAATACAACAGTAAGAAGAAAGCCTCACCGAGTTCCCATCACCAAACCGAGCTAACTATAAGCTTCTGCAATCTTACTCTACTTGTTCTCCTGTAAATATGCCTGGAGTTCTGATAAACAGATCCCACCACCTCTACTACTTAGGACCCTCCTCCTGCAATTCTCTACTCCCTTCTGGAAGAAATGTACAAATATACTTTACAATTAGCCATCAACAGTTCTTGACATAGTCCCCCGCTCCCTCCACCTGAAATACTTGCAACACCTCAGCTTCCAAGACCCTACCATCAGGTTTTCCTCCCATCTCACTGGGCCAGTACATCTTTAATACTTGATTGATGCCCCAGGGCACCATCTCCGAGTCTCTTTGTACTATGTTCACTCATTCCATCAATCATGTCACTAACCTCCATGTTTCAATACCAGAATGTTAGCACCAAATTTCTATCTTTAGCCCAAAACTAAACTTGAGACCTCTATGCCCAGATACCTACCTGAATTCTACACCTGGGTTTCTCGGTGCACGTGCCAAAGAATCCAAAGTCCTATGATGGCCTCTCCAAGATCTAGCCCTTTGACTGTGATCTCATCACCTCACACCCACACTCACTCTGCTCCAGCCACACTGATTTTCTCCTTTTGTTCTCCAGTATGGCTCCATAAATAGGTACACAAATAATTTTCCAAGAATAAAAACATTTGTTAAATTAATTCTAATGTTTCTACATCCACTGCTTCGTTCCATTCTGGCTGCAACACCCTACTCCCACAATTCTGAGTTCTCTATAGAAATGCCCTAATCAATGTGAGAATTAGGAGAAAATGGGGAGGAAGAGGAGTTCCTCTACTGGTGTACTCCGAAGAGGTCTTGTTAAGTTGAATGATTCTTTGAAATCAAATGTTTTATTGTACATATTCATGTTTATTTTCATTCTCTCTATTCATTTTCACGTAAAATAGTGTTGTCCCTTCCCAGATCTTCAGTTAAAACTGATTCTCCAAGAGGCTTTGCCTTTTCTATTCTTGAAGCTTCAAAGCACACTGTCATCTCCCAAGCCAGCACCTCCCAAGCTCAAGCCTTATCTCTGGGCCATTGCCAAGACCTCCTAAATGGCTTACCTGCCTGGCATACCTTCTCTGATCTCCTTCTATTCCACACAGTTCTTTGTAGAAGAGTAGGGCTTCAGAGCAATGGTTCTCAAACAGCTGAGAATTTGCATTTCCAAAATGTTCTCCAATGGTCAGGGACCACTCTTTAAGAACCACCGGTCTAGTGCCAATCTCCTTGGAATAGACTCCTGGTTTGGCCCACTCCACGGCAAGGCTCCAACTAACACCTGGAACAGTTCATTTCAGCTCTCAGTACCTTAATTTGCTCATACACAAAATAGGGATAATGAGACTACCTACTCAAGAGAATTGAGGATTAAATGGGTTATTACAGTGCCAACGCTGGGATCAGCTACAGCCCAACACAAATTAACTATGCTGCTTCAACTGAGAGGTGACCAAAAAGAAAAAAAAAAGACCTCTTCCAACAGAATCAAGTACAAACCCCTCAACAATGGAGCAAAAGTCATTTCAACATTTTCTTTCTGGCTATTCAGTTACAGAAACCCACCACTACAGACACGCTCATCTCCCAGCACTCTAGCCACACCTCAAGCTTTCTCACCCCTCTCCTTCTCCAGAACTTCCTTTCTCGTCATTATCAACATTTTGTCCATCCTTCAAAAGCTGATGTGGGATTGGTCGGTGGGTAGATGCATGGGTTTTGATGAAGACAACGTATCAAAATGTTAATTGTAGAATTCGGCTAATGCGTCTGTCTAGATAGGTGTTCATGGTAAAATTGTCAACTCTTTAAATGTCCATACATTGTCATAACAAAAACCTTTCATTAAAAAATGGTACCTGCAAGTCACATTTCCAGACAACTCGGATTGAAAGAAACTACAACAAATGGGCCTCCAACAGCATGTAACCCCACCCTGACTGTGCAGACAAAAAGCTGTCTAGGCTGAGATCGCCGCTGCAGCAACAAGAGGTATAAAACCAAACTCTGACTTCCAAAGGAATCGCTGCGCGAATGCCAAGACGAAGTATCGTTTCACTCACAAGTTAACCGTTACCACCAGAGAGGCTGCAACAAACACCTATTACCTACTGACCTCGCAACGACCTCCGCGGCCCCTTTGGGGTGTCCGCAGGAAGAAGAGGAATCCCAGTCACTAGCTCGTACGCAGCAGAGCCGGGCGCCAGGTTGCGGGCTCAGGGCCCGCCCCTACCTCCGACCACCCCAGTGCTGCTTAATAATCACGGGAGAGACAGGTCGCGCACTGCCCCAGCGTCGACGAGCGCTGAGGAATGAAGTTTGGACGCCTCCGCCAAGGTCAGTCGGACAGTCCGTGCGTCCGCCCCTTCCCCAGCCTCTGACCCAGGAGCACCCAGGCAGCCACCACTGGCGGAGGGCGTAGCTGATTCCTCTAACCCCGGCCCGGGTGAGGGCGAGCCTCCACCAGTATTCGTCCCATGCGCATCTCACTCACATGTTGTTGAAGCGGAACAGGTCGTCGCACGTGAAAGCCCGAAGGGTGGTCATTACGCTGCCGCCCCCAAATCTGATCGCCGCGGTTTCCACTGCTCCTCCGGAAGTCACCCAGAGAGAGGTCGCGGAGGCTCTCGGCGGCCAACTTCTTCCGGGTCACCAGTTGCTCGGCAACCACGCAGCGACACAGCTCCCCCTAGCGGCAAGTCAGGAATTGCTAGACCACCTTTGTAAGATCGAGAAGGCTCTTCTGTCTCATAACCTGGAAACCCCTGCGCGCGGTTGACTGGAAAAAGTAGGTGATGCGATCACCACCTACAAAGGAGACACAAAGCTGCTGAAATTAAGAAATCAAAGCAGAAAAGCGAGATTCAAGATCACTTATGTGCCACTTGGCAAATGAGGAAGGAAGTGGAGAGAAATGGGATGAATCATGGTCCAGAGAGTCCTGTCCCAATGATTAGAACCAATATGAGATCTCAAATTATCTAATATGTTTTTTAAAGGAAAGATGAAATTAATTTTAATAATATACTTTATTTTACCCAGTATATCCAAAATATTATCATTTCACATATAATCAATACAAAAACTATTAATGGAATATTTTACTTTTTTTCTTGTGTTTTAAATCGTGTGTATTTTACGTTTGCAATATATTTCAATCTGAGTCATCAGAAATACTTGTTTTGTATTTAGCTTTCATAAAATTTAAGGATAAAATGTATGGTTAAAAAATAGATTTGCATACCCAAACAGTTTCAATCATGCTGTTTTCAAATAACCGACTGCAACATCAGTTTTCAAGTTTAGATTAAAGTGAAAAATTTCATTCAGTGGCCCTAAGCACATTTCCAGTATTCAGTAGCCCCATGGGTAGTAGTGACCATCATGTTGAATAACCCAGGTCCAGCGGCTAAGAAATGAGCATGTTCTACCCATTCTTGGAAGTTCTTTCTCCTCACCCCCTTTCCATGCAACTACCAAGGTGATTTTGTGAGGCCAGTGGCACAAGTCAAACCAACTCAAAGGACTCAAGAAAAAAATCTAAATTCTGTGGCCCTCAAGCATCTAACTGCCCTGGGGCCCAAGTTGCTACGTAGGAATCACCTCAGCAGCCCCCTGCCAAGAAAGACATGTGGCTCAGGCACAGGAGGAGAGTGACCAGATAGTTGAGGAAGTAAGTAGGCCCATATGAAGGATCGTTCAAGATCCAAGATCAGCTCCAGAGATTGTTTCCAAAACTTCAACAATATAGGCATATGAGTGTAAACACATGTGTAAAAGTCCCTGGGACTTACAAACACATATCCACAGGTACTACAAATGCACCAGGAGGGTGAAATGTGACATCATGAGCTCAGCTTCCTCCTGCCAGGTGTTTAAACTGGGAGAAATTTTAGAGGCAATTTCATTTCAGGAAAGCCTAATGTGCCACAATAAATGAATGTTAAAGGATAATTTTTTAGAAAAGGTAAAATTATTATTTTCATGTAAATATAAAATGAACATTTGTCAAAGATTTTAGCTCTTTAATCAATGAAAGGACCAGTAAAATGTTATAGCTTGTTTAAATGAGAATTTAAAATGCACAAGGCAATCAGAATTGTTTAAATGTACTTGGAAAGAACAAAATAAACTACAAACAAAATATAACCATAGGCATGGAAATGTGGATCAGACTAACAAAGACCAAAAGGGAGCGGGGAGTGCGATAATGATAGAAAGGAGGGGAAGACACTAAAGAACATGTATGAATGACCCACATATAGAAGACCATTCTGCATGGTGTGGGCCAGCTCCCACTCGGAGATGCACAGGACCCACGCCCACAGATAGGTTCTCCCGTGGGGAATCAGGCCTGCATTGTACCTAGATTGCTATGAGACTTGCTTTTACTAAAATTCCCTCACCCTGAATTGAGACAGCAAGTGTTTACTGTAACTTCCTAAAATCCGGGCTAAAACTCCCCAGTATGGAGTGTAACTGGTTCAACCACTTTTCTCTTTGCATTTGCAAATATCCCTCTTCTGTGATGTGATTAGCAGTATCATCTCCTTTGTTTTCTGTAAAAGGTAACCACCTAAAGCCAATCTGGGCATAGTACATGAGGACCATCATGTAATGTGCCCAGAAAAAGAAATAAAGGCTGGTCAAGGCAAGGGCACAGGTTTTTTCTCCTCTTGAGAGAAAAGCCGTATCGTCCCTTTTCCTCCACAGGACTCAGTAATCCGTGTGAATTTCATATCTCATCCACAATGTGGCGGACCCCACGAGCCGCGGTTTGCATCACCCACAGACATGGATAGCAGTGTGGGAATTGACTGTAGGAGTGGGTGGTGGGATGGTGGAGGAAGACAAAGGAGGAAAAATTGGGACAACTGTAATAGAATAACAATAAAAATAATTAAAAAATAAGACAGAACAAATAAAAGAATTGCATAGTTAAGTGTCATTCATTGTTTTCCTATCTTTTTATCTCATGAAATGAACTACTCATGACAAGCTATTTTTTATTGTTCAAAATTATAATTATGTATACACATAAATATAGAATCTCTTGTGAAATAAAAGAAAGAAAAAGAGTGTAAAGCTTGTAAATACCTACAGTTCAGTGATCTGTTGAATCTCCCAGACACACATGAAACATATTTCTATGGACAAGAATCATTTTCATTACTATCAATTTCTGCAGCTTATAGATTTGTAAAATAGGTAAAAAACAATAAAAGGCAGAGTTAACCTGTAAGCGTGTACCTGGAAAGACACCAGCCATCTTTTTTTGGCTTTTTCAAAATGCCTCACAATTTTTTTAAAAGATTTTATTTATTTATTTTTACAGAGAGGGGAAGGGAAGGAGAGAGGGAGGGAAACATCAGTGTGTGGTTGCCTCTTGTGTGCCCCCTACTGGGGACCTGGCCCACAACCCAGGCATGTGCTCTGACTAGGAATTGAACCTGCGACATTTTGGTTCACAGTACAGTGCTCAATCCACTGAGCCACACCAGCCAAGGCTCACAATTTTTTTCTGACATGAATTAATGTTGATTTGAACTTTGTTCTTTGTGAAGTTTTGATGGTTTTTATCATTTTTATTTTGACTTATTACACACTAGACACATAGGAAATTTATGACTATTTCATGTTGGTACCTATTAAAATAACAGCATAATAAAAGCAATCTTGATTTTTAGAAACCACTGTGTATTTAACTCAAAGGCAGGAGTTAAATACACAACCACTGCAGGAGCTGAGTGCTGTGGGCTACCAGTTTGCAACCGTTGATAGAAATGATGATTCAGAATCATCATTTCCAACCACATATCAAAACTCTAAGGTAGCTCTTCATGACAATAGAAATGTGTACCAGTTACGAGAAATGTGGAGGGAAATAGAATATCCTGAAAACACAAGCTGGATCTCATTTCTCTTCCTGTTTGTCTACTTATCTTTAAACTGTTGTTAGTTTGTATTGCTAAACACCTAAACACCTCCAATAAATTAGCATCTAGAAGTGTGCCTGGCAGGTGCTCAGTAAATATCAGTTGAATGGATAAATGAAAGGTGGTATATAGATTATACAGAAAATCTTGTCATCCTTCATAGTTTACAAACAGGTATTCACATTATCAGCTAAGTTATTTCACTGGGTCTCCATTTCTGAAAAAGGTACGTAATAATAATATTCATCTCTGTGTTATGAGGATTAAATGAGCTAGTATTTGTAAAGGACTTGAAATAGGGCTTGCCATTTAAGTGTAAAAGAAAATAAATAAAATTAAGTGTTTTGCATTTTGAAGAATTTAAACTTTGAAATGTAGAGTGTGGGAAAGACAAAACACTCGACCATGGAATTCCTTAGCACAGTGAGTGCAGGAGTGGTAGCACGTTTGTTGCTCATGTCCTGGTAAGTAGCTTGTTCGAGATGCACAGATCCTTTAAAGCAACTTCCCTTTCTCTTATTGTCATGATCCACCCAGAAAAGCCTATATGTCACCATGATTTGTCTTATTTGTTTAAAGACCTCTTAGGGCCCTACATTTTTTTATTTAAGTTTGTGTTGTTTAATGAGAGTGATATATGCACATTATTTAGAAAATTGGAGACTTGTAGAAATGTACAAAGATTCAAACAAATCACTCAAAATTCTACCACCCAGAAATAAAACATGTTAACCCTTGAAGAACTTCAGACATCTTTTTTATGCAGTTTTAGGGGAGTGAGGAAAAATGCTTTTACTTAAAAGAGGCTCAGGTTATACATGTTAATATTAAATAAAAAGTATTACTTTGACTTCCGGCAAGATGGGGGCATAGGTGGATGCACCGTACCTCCAAGCACAACCAAGATTAGAACAACAACAATTTAGAGCTAGAATAACACCTAGAACTGATAGAGAGTTTATCTAAATGAAAGTTGGACAGCCAAGAAGTTCAAGTAGACCGGTTCAACCAGACCAGTAGGAGGGGCAGAGAGGAGGGGAGGGGTGGAGAGGAGGAGCCAGGCGGGCGCAGGTCGGTGGCGCACGGAGGTCAGGAGAACTTGGTGCAAACTCGCAAGTAAGCCACCCGGGGCGTTCAAGCCATCCGGGGTGCGCAAGCCATCCGGGGCGTGCAAGATCGCAGCACAGGACCCTGAGTATGTAAGCAGTGGCTGGCGGACCCAGTGAGGTGGCGATTGTGGACCAGGGCAGAGCTCGCAATCCAGGATCCCAGAGAACGGACTGAGATCCCAGGAGAACGGAAGTACCGCCATTGTTCCCTCCCGCCCCTGCCCCCAAATATAATGTCACAATCTAGCGACTGGGGTGCCCAGTCCCGGTGAACGCCTAAGGCTCCGCACCTCACCATAACAATAGTGACCAGACCAAAAAAGAGAGACAGGGAGAAATATGTCTCCAACAGAAGAACAGATCAGTCCCCCAGGACTCATCCTTATGAGCGACTAAGAAATAGCCAATCTATCAGATGCACAGTTCAAAACACTGGTGATCAGAAAGCTCACAGAATTGGTTGATTTTGGGTGCAAATTAGATGAAAAAATGCAGGTTACCATAAAAGAGATGAAGGAAGATGCATGGAGAGCCAATAGTGAAGGGAAGGAAACTGGGTCTCAAAACAATAGAGTGGACCAGAAG